ATATTTTAATCAAATTGTCTTTCTTATTCCAAACAATATACACAAAGATAGAGGAAGAATTACTTGATGATTCAAATGCATTGACTTGGAAAGTTAGTTGGCAAAGGAAGAAAGCTAGAGTAAGACTGAAGAAAATAGAGGTTTTAACCCATTAGATGGGATATTATACTATTAATCAGATGTTTGAACATGGGTGAGAATAGATAATTATTAGAAATAGAAGTATTATTATAACTAGAAAGATAGGATTTGTAACTAGAATATTATATTTTGGTATGAGAAGGGAAATATGAAAATGCTAAGAGGATTTGAATAAGGGAAGGTTTTGGTTATCCAAATATAACTTATTATGAGAAATTATAAGTGATAGAGACATTTTGAATACTGATGGGAAATTATTATTTTTTTAAAAAGCGGAAAAAACAGGATATTAATTGAACAAATGGATATTAAGTGCAAATGCAATTAAGATATATTTTGGTTAGAAAAGATATTTTAAACTGACATTATTGATATTATCAGGAAAATGTAACAAACATGTTGATATTCAATTGTATATGTATTAACAACATTAAGAATTGTATTTGCCTAGTGTGGAAAATGTGTACTATCGGAAGAAGAGAGGAAGCATTGGATGGTGTAATATTGGCCTAGATTGAAGAAGTTAATATGTACCACTGAATTACTAATGGACCCAGACAACACATTGTTTATTAAATACTTATGACTGTAAAACTAGAAAATTAATAAAATATTTATATATATAAAAAAATACTGAATAGGTGTTTAGTTCACTCACAAAATAGTGATGACATAACGTAAGTAAACATAGTGATATGAGAAGATGTAATTGTGAGGAAGTGGATGACAGATATAGTCTTTTGTTCAATGGTATCTGCTCCAAATGCAGAGGTAGTCAGATAAAGATGAAGATCAAGCAATGAAATGGCAAGACACAAGATACAGAAGACCTATTTGGACTTATTTGGGGCTGAGAAATACTTTGATATAAAATGTGTTCTCTCAGAGAGTAATATTCAACCTGTTCAATTATCCTAACTTTTTTTCAATCACAGTAAGGAAAAAAGCAGGGTGGCAAATCCCCATAGAGCAAGTCAGGAAGCAATGGCTTTCTACTTGATTTTGAATAGACTGACTTTGTCCATGCAGGAACAGATGGGAGCCATGCACACAGGAGATGATAATGCAAATGTTTGACTTTTATAGAAAACAGAGCATCACCACGTAGACCAGGGGTCCCCAACCTGTGGGCCGTGGCCCACTACCGAGCCAGGGCCACTAGGCCGCATGAGTGGCTGGCTAATGCATGTGTGTGTGCTCGCTTGCACTTGCCCATTCGCGCCAGTGATGCCGTGAGCGTTGTGCAGGCACTAGCACTGCCATGAGTGCACCTCCCCACTTGCGCTAGCATCGTGGCTTTGTGCCAGCGCTAGTGATGCCATGAGAGTCATGTGGGCGCTAGTATCACTGCGAGCTCACACTCCCCCCATTCATGCTAACATCACGGCGTCACACATGCAATCGCAGCTCCATTCGTGCCTGCACACTTGTGGCCCTGTGCTCTGGCACGCGTATGTAAAAGCACATCCACCACCACCCACCCAGGGCTGCCAACCCAGAAAAGTTGGAGATACCTGCCATAGACCCTCACCCTCTTGCATCTTCTCACATGCTGGGATCTTAGGTAAGTTAGATGCAAACTGATCTTTGGCTATGTCCTGTCCTGTTGGAAACAACATTATGAAACTGAAAAAAGTAAGGTTCTAAAGAAAAACCAAATGTACAGGTATAGTATAGGGGGTACCTTGCTCAACAGTAGTAACTGTGAGAGGGATCTCGGAGTCCTAGTGGACAATCACTTAAATATGAGCCAGCAGTGTGCTGCAGCTGCCAAAAAAGCCAACACAATGCTAGGCTGCATTAACAGAGGGATAGAATCAAGATCACATGAAGTGTTAATACCACTTTACAAGGCCTTGGTAAGGCCACACTTGGAATACTGCATCCAGTTTTGGTCACCATGATGTAAAAAAGATGCTGAGACTCTAGAAAGAGTACAGAGAAGAGCAACAAAGATGATTAGGGGACTGGAGGCTAAAACATAAGGAATGGTTGCTGGAATTGGGTATGTCTAGTTTAATGGAGAGAAGGACGAGTGGGGACATGATAGCAGTGTTCCAATATCTCAGGGGCTGCCACAAAGAAGAGGGAGTCAAGCTATTCTCCAAAGCGCCTGAAGGCAGGACAAGAAGCAATGGATGGAAACTAACCAAAGAGAGAAGCAACCTAGAACTAAGGAGAAACCTGACCGTTAGAACAATTAATCAGTGGAACAACCTGCCTCCAGAAGTGGTGAATGCTCCAACACTTGGGAGTTTTTAAGAAGAGACTGGACAGCCATTTGTCTGAAATGGTATAGGGTTTCCTGCCTGAGCAGGGGGTTGGACTAGATGACCTCCAAAGTCCCTTCCAACTTAATTACTAGTATTATTATTATTATTATTATTATTATTATTATTATTATTATTATTATTATTATTATTATTATTATTATTATCATCATCATCATCATCATTATTGTTGTTGTTCTTGTTCTTGTTGTTCTTGTTGTTGATTCTTGTTATTGTTGCAAAAAGGGAGAACCGTAGTAATCAAAGCATGGGAGGTTTGGGGGAATGGAGTGAGATTTGTGTACTTACAAACAAAATAAAAATTGGGTGGAAAACCGTTCAGGAGTAAAACAGCTAGTACATTAGAAATGCAAAGATTTTCCCAAGAGACTTTCAACAAATGCTCAAATAGAAAACCAAGTATTCAGCTGGGACTGCTGAACAATAGTGTGGAGCCAGTCTAGTGCTGGGAGGACGGGCTTTCTCAAACCATTGTATTACAAAAGACAAAGCTTTGTCCCCCTTTCCAGATAATGCATTTTGCCCAGTCATGAGGCCTTAAAGTGAGTTTCCTGCCCACATCATAGATCTTAATATTGGGGCAAAAAAAGTGTTACTTACGTATGAAAGTCCAAAACCATCTAAAGGATCCTTCAATTATCAATTTCAGTCTCTATATCATTTTCAAGAACAGATCTAGATAAAGTCCCTGCAGAAATATATGCAAGACATTGACAGAGCACAACTACCACAGCCAGGCCACCCTGTTCAGAAAAGGTATGCAGCTGACAAACTAGTTGCAACACGATACAGCATGATGCCCAATGGGCTGCCAAGGTTCCTTGCTCCTCAGATGAGTGAGGTGAAGGCAGGAAAAGAGTAAGGTCACATACTTGTTCATTCATAGGTGTTTACAGAATCTGGGACTTTACTAAGTAGCTTTCAAATACAAATTCATGAATGTTTGAGCTATGAACACCAGTACTAAATATATTAAGTTTCCAGTTTCCATTAGTTCAGGAATAGGAGAGTGCCATTGGTTTTGTAGCCTTCACATAGGCATCTGATGTGCCCTTTTGGAAAGACAAAACTAATTCAGGGATACGCTTAACACTGTTCCGTCTCTGATACTGTCAAAAGTTACCACCTCAGAGTCTGATATTTATTCCTATTTCCATGATTTTTCACATCACATCTTGTACTGAGAGGTACCTCAGTGTAGTATCCAGAATAGTAAAAAGCTATTGCCCTCAAATCCTCAGGAAGCAGACTGAGAACTGTAAAGCTATTAATTATAGGCTTTACGCATCTAAAATGAAAGGTATGCTTCTCAAAAGGAAATAGAAATTTTTGTGATAAGTCACAATTCCTCTGGTTTCACCTGGCAAACTTCCCAGTGTCTCACACAATGTTAACCTTCTAATCTAAACAGTCATATATCTTTACCCAGTTGTTAAACAATTATGCAACTGAATGGATAGTCAGTGAATTATGAAAGTAATAACTGGGTTTCCCTTCCCAGTCATTGTTCTCATTTTTTTCTGCAATAAAAACACAGATAATCTAGAATTCAGGCCTGTGCAACTGAATTATTTTACATGGATGGAGGGAGGGCAACATGTGGCCATCAAAATATGATTAGAATTGATGGTCATTCAACATCAACAAAGTCTATTCTTGACTCACAGAGACAAGAAACATGCTGTCTGTTTATCTGTCTGTCTGTCAATCAACATACTCTGTGCAAAGCATCTGAATTTCTATAAAAATATCTAAATGCTCAGGTATATTTTGCTGATTAGGAGGAACTTTTTTTCCAGTCACAATGGTCTTTGTTGTAAGTATATATGTAATGTAGAATAAATAAATTTTAGTTATTTATTCTACAGTTGTATGCATTACTCCAGCTGCATTTCGAAGCCTAGTTAATCATTGTAAGGCCCATTAAAACCAAAGAAGCTTATATCTGAGTAACATTCTATAAAACAGCACTATTAATTGGCGGAAATTCCACTTTTACCTATGAGTAAATTAGGTTGCAACATTCTACAAGAACTACAAATAAGAATATTTTTAGAGATCAAAGCAATCAAAGCAATACTTTCAAAGGCAGTATCAAATACAGTAAAACTTACAAATATTTTGGACTCTTAAAACACATGCACACAGACAGAATAACAAAGTCCTTTTTTTTAAAAAAAATCAACAGTTGCAATCAGATTTCAAATTCAAAAAAAGGCTCAAAAATATTACTTTGTTCCTAATCCAGCTCTTTTTCTAAAGTATCTATATCAGATGGCTGATTTCTAATGTAACTTTGATTTTTGGATGTCTTTGAAGAGATATGCTCTATTGATTTGTCCTCAAATGTCAGCCACTTAGCTACCCACAAACTTGATTTCCTGAGCGAAGGCTCTTAATGTGTATAACTCCTACAAATCCCTAATCCATTCGTATTTTCTGCTCAGATTTGTCACATTCTTGTCTTTATTAACCTGAGCAAAGGTACAACAAGAACACTCTCTCTATTTTAAATTTCATTTCTTTACAAATTAAATTAAGTACATACACAAATTCTGCGCTTCTTACCTGCCAGCTTGTCCTGGACAGTTCTTCTAAACAAAGCTGGAGTGGTTGTATATTCCTTCTGTTCTCTCTGGTACTTCTTGCTGTTTTGCTGCAGATTGAAAGGAAGTTACATCAAATATAGCCTGTTCGTGAAACTGAATGGGGCGTTGCTGCTTAGACAACAAATCTAAACAATGGAAGAAACTGAATATCACTGTCCCTAAAGCAAGAACACTGAGTTTCCTGATGCCATTCGCACCAGCAAGAATCTGCCCTTCCCAGCAGCAGATCAAAATCTTTCAGTTCATCTGAAGTGATTAGGGATCCTAACCGCTGGCATTGCCTCTAGAATGTATAAATGGAGTAAAGACAAGTATCATGTTTTGTATTGTTCTTACTTTAGAAGTAGAATAGAAGCCATAAAGTAGCAGAGGATATAAAATTAATTGCTCTGCTTTTGATCTTTTTTTAGGCATTTCAACTCCGTTGAGAGGCTTGCTTCACATTAAAAGAGGATTATAGATGTTAATTGGAAGTAGTCAATACACTGATAGTGTCTGGATTGTCAATATCCCTGACAACAGTAATGTTAAAGTTAAACACATTTTTTCCACCAAAATTCCTTTTAGAAGCAGACTTATTGGGACTTCTTAAAGGAGGAGGCCAAATGTTATTCAATAGGGTTGAAATCCTCTATCAGGAATTGAACACACAGAACTTTGTACTTTATATGACTTCTGTATTATATACAGCACATTAGTTTTATGAGCTATCCAGATCCTGGTGTTCAATGGCTGCAGGAAGAAATATATAGAATCTATCAGAAGGTTACATGTAAAAAAACAAGAAAAAAGTGAAGGAAATGATTGGTCCATTAGTGGGTGAAAGTGGCAAGAAGGTGACAAACAATAGGGAGAAAGCTGAACTATTTAACTCGTTTTTTGCATCTGTCTTTACACAAAGGGAAAAAACAGACCAACCTATCAAAAATAGTGTCATAAAAAACAGAATAGAAACACAAGTTAAGATAGGCAAGAAAATGATAAGTGAGCACCTGTCCAGCCTAGATGAGTTCAAATCACCAGGACCAGATAGATTACACCCAAAGGTTCTCAAGGAACTGGCAGATGTGATCTCAGAACCACTGAACTATATTTTTCAAAGATCCTGAAGCACTGGGGAACTACCGGAGGACTGGAAAAGAGCTGATGTAGTTCCCATCTTCAAAAAAGGGGGAAAAATGGATCCAGGAAATTACAGACCTATCAGCATGACCTCAATACCTGGGAAGATTCTGGAAAAGATAATCAAACAACAAATCAGCGAACACTTAGAGGCAAACAAAATCATTACTAAAAGCCAACATGGGTGTGTCAAAAACAGATCATGCCAGACAAACCTTATTGCATTCTTTGATCAAGTGACAAAATTAGTGGATCAGAGGAATGCTGTGGATATAATTTACTTGGACTTCAGTAAGACATTTGATAAAGTAGATCACAACCTACTACTCGATAAGATAGAAAAATGTGGGTTAGACAGCATCACCACCAGATGGATTCGTAGCTGGCTGACCAGCCGTACTCAGCATGTGGTCCTCAATGGAACTGCATCTACAACCTCCCTTCACACATCACCCCACGGGGTCCCGAGACAAGATCCGGGTCACGAGAAGTTGTAGAAGTAGTTACTAAACCTGCTCCCCTATCTACCCCTTGAGTAGTTTAAACGCCTACTGTGGTTCGACCGTCCTTATCGGTTGTGAGGTCTTCTGTCCGAATTCTATGTCGAGGACCTGGACAGACTTGAACACTGGGTGCTATCTAACAAAATAAAATTCAATGGTGAAAAAAGTAAGGTTCTACATTTAGGCAAGAAAAACCAAATGTACAGGTATAGTATAGGGGGTACCCTGCTCAATAGTAGTAACTGTGAGAGGGATCACAGAGTCCTAGTGGACAATCACTTAAATATGAGCCAGCAGTGTGCTGCAGCTGCCAAAAAAGCCAACACAGTGCTAGGCTGCATTAACAGAGGGATAGAATCAAGATCACATGAAGTATTAATACCACTTTACAAGGCCTTAGTAAGGCCACACTTGGAATACTGCATTCAGTTTTGGTCACCATGATGTAAAAAAGATGCTGAGACTCTAGAAAGAGTGCAGAGAAGAGCAACAAAGATGATTAGGGGACTGGAGGCTAAAACATATAAGGAACAGTTGCTGGAATTGGGTATGTCTAGTTTAACGAAGAGAAGGACAAGGGGGGACATGATAGCAGTGTTCCAATATCTCAGGTGCTGCCACAAAGAAGAGGGAGTCAAGCTATTCTCCAAAGGGCCTGAAGGCAGGACAAGGAGCAACGGATGGAAACTAATCAAGGAGAGAAGCAACCTAGAACTAAGGAGAAACTTCCTGACAGTTAGAACAATTAACCAGTGGAACAACCTGCCTCCAGAAGTGGTGAATGCTCCAACACTGGAAGTTTTTAAGAAGAGACTGGACAGCCATTTGTCCAAAATGGTGTAGGGTTTCCTCCCTGAGCAGGGGGTTGGACTCGATGACCTCTAAAGTCCCTTCCAACTTTATTATTATTATTATTATTATTATTATTATTATTATTATTATTATTATTATTATTATTATTATTATTATTATTATTATTATTATTATTATTAATTTTTAGGGGGTACGGGGAGGGTCGGGGGGGGCATGGGGGATGCCTCCCTGGGACCAAGGCCGGTCCTGTCTGAGGGACGCGGCGTCGGAGTGATGGGGGAGGTGGTTGGGGGATTGAGAGAGGGTGGTACGATCAGCACGGTCAGTGGGAGGGGCAGATATGGCGGGAGCAGAGGACCATATCGGGTTTGGGGAGCACACACACGCTGTTTACAAGCTTGTAGGTGCTCCGGTCCTCAGGGCTCCACTCGGTCTCCAGGGAGCTTAGATC